GTCTATGTTATGACAACCATGAGGGGTTTACTACGGGCCAGCATGTCAAAAACACCAGCAATTAGAGGAAGCAGCGCCTAGAGGTGATATTCTTTCCCTTCCTCTTAGGAATAAGGCATCAAAAACGGTATCTTCATGATGAGAGATGTGAATGAATGCACATGATTAATTGCGCTTTACGATGCGACTGAGGATCAAGTAGCAGCGCGACTGACAGACCGCAATGCTACTTGATCCTGTGCTACCAAGCACTCAGAAACTGAGTCCACATGTGCCATGTGTCTATACAAAATAAAGAAGGATTACGAATCTAGAAGGTGCTGTCAACCTGTGCAAATTTTCTACCGCTCTTTTTGCTCCTTTTTTGAATCAATATACATCTTTAATATCAAAACATCTGATAAAACAACAAATAATTTTATAAAATGGAAAGCAACTAGTTCTGTACACTCTTCATTCTATTTGTGGTGCATTACGGTTTCAAGCGGTTGTCTTCAGCGTTGTTTTACAAAGAACCACTCGAGCTCTTCGAAATGCTGGGAAATGTAGATCTTTGAATAGCGTTTCAAACGGCTTCTTAAAATCTAGCACATCGTCGAGATAATCGTCATGCACTGGGTAGATATCATCAAAATCGAGATCATCTCCAGAAAGCATGGCAGTTGCAGATGTATGGGCTTCTAAAAACATTTTCATATCTATCCTTCACTTATCAGTTGATTACACAGTAATATTACCTCTGCCGTAAGCACGCGCAGCATCGTGGACTTCGGTATCAATGTGATGATGGACTGGCATAATAACTGGCTCACAAATTACAGCAGGGGCATTAGCCACGACCGCTACTGCAGCATGCATTGGTGTTCGTGCTACATACGTAGAAGACGGAACAGGGGCTACATATGCCTGGGTTGGCGGAGCAGCCGTATAAGCTGGTGGTGGCGGTGGTGGTGCCGCATATTGCAGTATTAACGGCACTTCTTCTATTACATCAGGTGAAGTCAAGACCATTGCTGACGCCGATGTGCGTCCAGATTCTGAATTATAAAGACTACTATATGCGATAGGTTGCGTTGAACATACCTTTGACGTAGTGTCGCGCTACATTGCGGACTTCAGCGCGGGGACGAAGATGATGTATCTTCTTCATAATCACTACTGGTGCAGGTGGTGGAGGAGGCGGAGGAGGCGGAGCGACTACAACTGTTGTGGGTACTACTGGGATATTTGCATGTTTTATATAGTCCGCAGATAACACAGCGACTGGCTCTTGCTCTACATAGGCCGACGGAGCAGGTTCCAAGATCGCTGACAATGGTTCGGCGGGTATCACTGCAGAATCTGGAGCTACTTCTACCACTTCGTCACTGTTAATTCTAAAAATTTTCTCGGTCATTAAAGTACTCATTTTTGGGCATTTTTTGAGCAAGTTGTCTATGTAGGTGATTATGATTTAGAAAATCGCGATAACTCGTCAACGTTAGGCCCAAGGCATTACATCACGCATCAGTCGTCACGCGATCTGGCACTTGCCAGACATCTTCAAATACATCTGGCACTTGCCAGATATCTTCAAATACATTACTGGTAGACCCCAAAGGCACAGCATGTATAACTACCGTCACTTAATAAAATGTCCTATCTTCCGTACATTCAGAATCCGCTACGATGCGCCGTGACCAATTGGAGCATTGCCAAATCGCGTCGCGACTGAATCGCGTAAAGTATGCCTTGCGCCTTATAGGTAATAGAGATTGTTGGTTAGTTGAGCCTCAATAACTTACAAAGGGAAAAACAGGCTGCCCCTCGTTTAAACCTGTTGTTGGCAACTTTGATGTTATTTGTGCTTTACAAACCAGCATTCAAATAAGAGATGGTCACAAAAGCTTCAACAAAGGTAAACGCTCATTTGCTCTTTTGCGACATTCTATTAGCA